TCGTGGGTTGGCATATTCTTCTCTTCGAGCATCTCCTTTACAGCCTGGGTACTACAACCTCATCTATAAATCTGGCTGATAACAGAACATGCCTATTAGTAGTAATAATGAATGCAAAGTGCATAGTAGCCTGCACATAGAAAGCACCAAATAGATGGTCATTTCTTAATAAGTATATTGATCTCTATCTTACATAAAGTCAGGAAGTGGTCATTGTACTCCTACTATGGCACTTGTTTGATTTGGATTTATATGAGTTCCACAAAGCAAGATATACTCAAATACTTGAGACTGAAACAGCAAATGGTGCTTTAGCTGTCATGGTTATGGGCAACTATACAATAAACAGGCAAAGCCCTGAGGTGAGTTCAAGAGGCTGACTGGGTTACTCTATTTAGTGGTGATTATACAGTTACTTATAACACATAGTGTTCAGGGTTAAAAAAACAAAAAAGTACAAGTCATTAAAAGCAGTGGACTTGCCAGATTGTCGCTAGCTGAGAATGAGGTCAGATCTGCAGAGCCTCGGGCAGATAACGCTTCTGTTCCAAACTGTTGGTGGTGAGCTATTTGACAAGGAAAACAAAAGATTCCAGGTCTGAGCAAGTAAGGGTGAACTCTGGTTGACATTGCATCCAAATAAAAATCTAGATGAAGTAGAATGAGTGTAGGAGTCCAAAGTTACTGAAGAAATAGTCTAGATAATGCCCATCCATTAATCCAATAGGGTTATGTAGAAAATGATATTGTGTATGCACAAAGTATATTTGTCTTGTGTGTGTGTATATATATATATATATATATATAATTTGAAGCCAAATATTGACCCTGGCAGCATCAATTAAAATATATTAATTGATAAATTGTTAGCCCTTTACTGAGTTAGCCCATGTAGTCGCTGCTGTTGTTAGGTGCCATCAAGCCAGTTCCTATTCCTAGCAACCCTAAGTACAACACAATGAAACACTGCCCAGTCCTGCACCGTCCTCACAACCTTTGCTATGCTTGAGTCCATAGTTGCAGCCACAGTGTCAGTCCATCTTATTGAGGGTCTCCCTCTGTTTTGCTGATGGTCTATTTTACCAAGCATGATATCCTTCTCCAGGGACTGGACTCTTCTGACAAAATGAACTAAGTATGTGAGACGAAGTCTGGCCATTCTTGCTTGTAAGGAGTATTTCAGCTGTACTTCTTCCAAGACATATTTGTCCATTCTTCGGGCAGTCCATGGTATTTTCAACATTATTCAACATCACCACAATTAAAATGCATCAATTCTTCTTTGGTCTTCCTTATTCATTGTCCAGCTTTTACTTGAATGTAAGGCTACAGAAAATATCATGGGTTGGGTCAGTCCACTTCAGTCTTCAAAGTGACTTCTTTGCTCTTTAAGAGGCCTTTTGCAGCAGATTTGCCAAATGCAATACATCATTTGATACCTTGACTGCTGACTGCTACTTTACTGGGTGTTGACTGTAGATCCAAGTAAAATGAAATTCCTGACAACTTCAATCTTTTCTCCAATATCATGATGTTGCTTATTGGTCCAGTCATAAGGATTTTTTTTTTTCTTTATGCTGAGGTGTAATCCACTGTGAGGATGATCTTGATCCTTGATCTTCATCAGTAAGTGATTTAAATCATCTTCACTTTCAGCAAACAAGGTTGTTTCACCTTCATGTCTCAGATTGTTAATGAATCTTCCTCCAAGGCTGATGCCACATTCTTTGTCATATCATCTAGTTTTGTGGATTATTTGCTCAGCATACAGATTGAATAAATATCGTGAAAGGATACAACCCTGACACACACTTTTCCTGATTTTAAACCATGCAGTATATTCCCTTGTTCTGTTCAAACCACTGCTTCTTGAAATAAAAAAGCTCAGCAGAAGGTTTCAAAGGGCAGCTCGAGAAGACAAAGCAAAGTATTATAATGAAATGTGCAAAGACCTGGAATTGGAAAACCAAAAAGGAAGAACATGCTCAGCATTTCTCAAACTTAAAGGACTGAAAAGATAAACATTCAGGCCTCAAGTTGCAATATCAAAGATTTCTATGGGCAAAATATTGAATGATGCAGGAAGCATCAAAAGAATATGGAAAGAATACACAGAGTCACTGTACCAAAAAGAATTGGTCGATGTTCAGCCATGTCAGGAGGAAGGATATGATCAAGATCCAATGGTATAGAAGAAAGAAATACTAGTTGTGCTGAAGGAATTGGCGAAAAAAAAAAAAAAAAACAAGGCTCTAGGAATTGGTGGAAAACTCACTGAGATGTTTAAGCAAATGGATATAATGCTGAAGATGCTCGTTTGTTTATGCCAAGAAATTTGGAGCTAACATGTACTGATTGCTTGAACATCATTTTATTTCAAATCGAAATATTTTCAAAATATATTCTCTACCACTTCATTTATTTTAAACATTCTATTGTGATTTTGGACAGAATTTACATAGCAAATTGGTTTCCATTCCACAATTCATACACATTTTGTTTTGTAACATTGATTGCCACCCTTGCAATGTAACAGCACTCTTCCCATTTCCTTCCTGCATTTAATGTTTCCATTCATCCTTATTTCCTATCCCTTCCTGCCTTCTGAACTTTATCCCTGGGCAAATGCTTCCATTTTGATCTCATGTGCTTGATTATTCTAAGAAGTACACACCTCCCTGGTGTTATTTTTCACCTTGCAGGTCCATCTGTTATTTGACTGAAAGTTGACCCATGGGAGTGAGTTCAATTCTAGGCTTGAGGGTCCATCAGTCTCTGTCAGACCAGTAAGCCTGGTCTTTTTTTTTTTTTATGATTTTGAGTTTTGATCCACATTTTTCTCCTACTTTATCCAGGACCTCCTATTCTGGTAGCTGAGCACCACTTAGTTCATCTGGTCTCAGGGCCATGTAAGCTGAGGTTCATGTGGTCCATTAGTCCTTTGGACTAATTATTTCCATGCATCTTTGAATTTCTTATTTGCTTCAGATGGAGAGACACCAGTAGTTGCACCTTAGATGGCTGATCACAAGCTTTTAAGACCCCAGTCACAACTTGCCAAAGTAGGATGTAGAACACTGTCTTTGTGGACTAGGTTGTGCCAATTGACTTTGATGGCCCCCAAGATTATAGTCCTTAGCTTCAGACCCAGACTACTCCTTCCCTCAAACTGTTAGGTTATGGCTAAGAAGGTTTCATAATTTTGCCCTTTGTATGCTCTACTATATCCTTAGATATATTTGCAGCATAAGTAAATGCATGTGTAGAAATATCCTCTATCAAACCTATACTTATTTGTGAATGCATCCCATTGGCCTTCCCATACCTGCTTAGCTTGTGTTTCCCTGTATGTATCCAATCACAGATTATTATTATTACTGTCATTGCAGGATTGTGGGTGTAATTGTATTTAACAATCAACAACTTCATTTTTGTTGATATCTTTTAGTTGAAAATTATAGCAACATGTAAGTTCTAATTTTGTTTAAAAATTGCTCACAAAACTGGTTGAGTATGGAAATAGGCTTACAAATCACAAAACAAGATAAAAATTATGTTGGGTATTGTTAATATTCATTTTTCCATGAAATTGAGTGATGTTGCTTGTATAACAGGTGAGACTTTGGCCTTAGATAAATATTTGTGTTCTTTGACTTTCAGCATTGGGCTAATCTCCCTCTGCAAGAAGTATGATATCATAATGCATGTAATATGACTTTTTTAAAAAAATAAATCACTATTTAGAGAAAAGAATTTATTAAAATGTGGCATAAAGTCTCTGTCTAGCAAGATTCTTCTAAGATCTCTCTACCACCCCTGCCCATTTGGTTTGAATATCTGGATTTAATTTTCACTTTCAAAGCTTAACAAATTAAGCAGCCTTAGGAAGTGTTTACATTCAAGATTCCTTATTCCTCTCCAGAGGCAAATCTAAGATATGGCAGATATGGTGTATGCACTGACTGTCCCTTGAAAGGGGACACCACTGAGTTTCTATTAACCATTATTGTTTCTATCACCAGCTGTGAGAGATCATTCAGCAAATTAGAACTAATATCTTTATATTTGAGAACCTCTATGGATCAAGACAGGCTGTGTGATCTTGCTCTGCTAAATGTAGAGCACATCCTAGACCAATTTTTATTACTGAAAGCAAGATGCAGTAGCAATTTTCGTGTGTTATGTGAAATATTAATGACTTTGTACTTTTGAGCTGATATTGTGGTAAAATTATCTAAAAAATGGGTGCCAGACATATGGGCAGGGGTGCAATTTCAGTGCTTGTCATAGGCACTGTTCTGGTTACCTAGTACCTACCACTCTAACAAGAATATACCACAAATGGGATGGCCTTAACAAACAGGCATTTATTCTCTTACAGTTTGGAGGCTTTAAGTCCAAGTTCAAAGTGCCAGGCTCTAGGGGCTGGGTGAAAGCTCCTCGACCTTGGGGTTCAGCTCTGCCTCCAGCTCCTGGCCCACTGAAGCTGGAGGCTTTTCTTCACTCAGACAGCTGCTGGCTGCTGAGGCTGCCATGCCCAAGGTTGACAAGTAAAAAGGCACAATCTCGATATTACCAAACCACATGGCAGGCCATTAATTCAAGTCCATTGTCGTCCCAAGGTCAGCAGAGCATGGCAGGCTGCTGAACGACATGGCTACATGCAGGGTTCAAGGTACCATAAGTTAGAGACTATCCCTAAGCAGACCACATCCCAAAGGCAGCTACTTAGGTGCTTGTGGTAGATCCCACCATAGAGTTGATTGCCAGTCTCATCATGGGGAATAACTACCACCAGCTACCAAGCCACTCAACCAGGCACAGCCAAGTTGACATACAAACTGAACTACGACAGGCACCGTTTTCCATAGATACTCCTCTGGTCCTCTCACATACTGGTGGTGTGGGTACAATGACTAACATCAGGAAATACTGAGGCAGGACATGAGTGTGCTGTCATGAATCCTTGTCCTGAATAAATAATGTTTTATTGTTTCCAGATGCAGAGCCTAAATATCTGATTGTTGTGCGGTCTGCGCCCCCTCCAAGTCAGAAGAAATCATGCTCAGGTAAAGTCCTTTCATTGAGTTTAGTTTGCCAGAGATAAGTTGCCACAATCCCCTTCCCTCCTTCTGTTGGTTTCCACTTCTTTGAAGAAAAGCATTGAGTAGTTAAGCACTATGAAAACTATAAATTCCTTTTCCTGATTACTTACATTATCCCAAAATTGCAAGAGAAATTTCCACTATTCCTCAAAGCCTGTTAGTGATAATTGTCCAGGTACCTTTCTATACATTTTTAAATAAATTTGCTATCAGTATTTCAAGACTGTGTTTCAAAATATTGAACAATAAAGTCAAGAAATGTAAGAATAAGTCCATGGGATTCTGGCTTCATATGAAGTCATTAAACTGTTCCTTAATAAAAAAAATATGGTCCCAAAACAAATATTAAAAATATATAAAGAAAGTCAAGAGAATTGTTATACCTTAATACTTCATAACTTCATTTAAATTCATTTTAAGGCTTCTACGACACTGTTGTTAGGTGTCACCGAGTGTAGCCTTAGAAAATATTTTTCACTTTGTGACGACCACTTCAGGAAATTTTCTTCTTGCTCAAAATATAATACCTCACCTTTCCTTTGAGGCAATAGATATAATTTTTTTATTTTTATAATCTGCACTTGAGAATAGTATAGTGACAAATGGATTAAATTTCACTCATTTTATATGTGTGTATACCATGTAAATTTTAATTATTTCATCATTTTTATATTAAGTTCAAACAGTGAAATCATCATTTGATGGTCCTGTAAACCTTACAATTCCACTGGGGAAAGGAAAAAAAAAAAGTTGTTTTTTCCTCAAACCCACGAGGGGTCACTATGAGTCGGTCTGACTCAATGGCACATAACTACAACAAATGGCATTATCTAACTGAGCTAACCTGATAATGTAACAGAAGAAAAAAACAGATTAGGATCCAAAGACATGGATTTGAATCTTGACCTTGCTGTCATTGTGACCTTGCATACCCTTGAATTCTCTGGGCCTCACTTACTCATTTTTAAAATGAGAGAGTTGCATTTGATTAGCATTCGAAATGAAAAATCCTTATTAGGATCACCTCAGGACTTTTCAGATTATAAGTACACCTATCCTTACCCCAGATTCTAAAATGCCCCCTTTAAGGGCTGTACTTGGACCGTTTAAATCACCACCCTAATGAGTCCCTATTTCAGGTAGAACTGGAAAATTTTAGAGAGAAGAATAAATCAATGTATGCATCCAAGTAAGAAATGTTGTTATGTGACATCTCTTGAAAATTATTCTGAAGATCTTAAAAAATTCAATTAGGTTACAGCAAGGCAACTTGCCATCAGTAGGTTATGTATATTTGCGGCTCAGAAGGATTCTCACTGGAATAGGTCACAGAAGTTAAATGTAACAGAAGCAGCAAAAACAACACAATTTTCTGGGGCATTTGGTTCAGGTAACCCCCCTTAGGCTCTTACCCCCCCTTAAAAAATGGACACAAGCTATTTTGCTGCTTGGTTTCCACTCTATTAGATTAAAATAACACAAGGTCCCTCTATAGCAAATCCATACATATAGCCTCATGAAATGAAAAAGGAAACCCAATGGAAATGCAAAGCATATATATTTTATGTTAGTTCTATGTGGTTTTCTTAGGTCTCCTATTGGATTTTTATTTTCTTACCCAGATTGATTTTTTTTTCTCTGTTCTCTCATTCTTGAGGTTTCAAATATTTTCAGAAGTGCATATGCCTGCTCCTATATACTTGAAGACAGCATAAGTTTTTCATGATTTTACTCTTGGCATTGCACAAACCCCATTAATCCTATCAGAACAACTGTGCTTCCTGTTTTACTTCTACTCTTTCAGTATTGTTAAAAAAACATGGGCAACTTCTCCATTTATATACTCACTGTAAATAATACGTTTATTAAAATATCCTGACAAAGGATTTGATACTTACAAATAGGTTTTTTTTTTTAAAAAGAATACAAACTACAATGTAGATGGTAAGATTTTCTTTTCTTAGATGTTATTTCACAGTAGTTCACAGTCCTATATATAAAAAAATAAATATGCTTTTATGTTGTAGAATAAATGAATATTGTATGTGCATGTATGTAGGTGTGTGTGTTTCATCTATATGCTAATTCATATGAATGACATACAATTCACTGGCCATAGCTACTATATCCCTACCCATCCCTGACCCACAAGAAAATAAAACTGGATATAGTTGGATATAGTGTTTATACACACACACACACACATATCTACACAGACACATGCACATACACATCTATACCTTAGAAAAAGGGTATTTCATTTGATTTCACACTTGAATTCATGGAAAAATAAGCCATATTTCTGGACCATATACAAAGAAAAGGAATTTGATGTTGTCAAACTTTTTATCAGGAGCTCTGGTAGCATAGTGGCTAAAACACTTGACTGCTAACCAGAAGGCTGGCGGTTCAAACCCACCAGCCACTCCTCGGAAGGAAGGTTGGGCAATACTACTTCCGTAGTGATACTGCCTCGGAAACCCAAGGAGGGGTCGCTATGAGTCGGGGCCGACTCGACGGCACATAACAACAACAAACTTTTTATCATCTTACTGAGTCATCTTTATGCAGTTTTACCTAAATAATGAAAATGCAGTAAAAGTTGCAAGATTTAACCCCATATGTTACCTCTATAGGTAAAACACGTGCTCGCAAACCTCTCCAATTGGTGATTGGCACTCTGACACCAAGTTCTGTCTTTTTGTCATGGGGTTTCCTCATCAACCCACACCACGACTGGACACCACCAAGTCACTGTCCCAATGACAGGTAATTCACCATAAATGAAGATTGTGCTTTTCATCTGAAAATTAGTGTTTATTTTTAATACTATGTGTACATGCTTTAGAAGAATTTATACTTACCAGAAGCATCAGCATTCGTTGGTCACCTATTAGCTGTACAACCTGTTCTTGGTGTAAGGGGAACAAAGATACATAAATTAGGGTCACTAGTTTTGAAGGAGTTCTCATCTACCTGAAGAAAAAAAAATCCAAGTGCTTTTTCTTTTCTTTTTTTTTTTTTAAAAAAGAATGAACTAGGACAGAGACTAGCAAATGGGAAAGAGCAACAATAAGTGTAATGATAATTAAGAGGAGGAAGCTGAAGGTAATTAGGAAAGTCCGCAAAAAGAAAAGTCAGTCTTTGATTGGAAATGGATAGATCTCTGATCTGACATTTGAAGAACTGCTTGAAGCAGTGGTTCTCAAAGTGTGGTCCCCAACCAGACAGCAGCTGTATCAGTTGGGAACTTGTCACAAAAAGGAAATTCTCAGGCTCCACTCCAGACCTACTGAATCAGAAACTCAAAAGGTGGAACTCTGCATTCTGTTTTAATGAGCCTCACAGGTGATTCCGATGCCACTAAAGGTAGAGATAACTGGCTTAGGAAACTGGACAGACACATACAGGGAACGCTGTAGGCAGAGGAAAAGCAAAGAGTTGGAAATGAAGTTCTGAATTGCCATCTTTGGTAGAACAAAATAAGAACATTCTATGTTTATTTTTAAATGATTGTCATTCATTCATTCATCCAACCCATGTATTTGGCTCCATCTATGTGCTAGGCACTGTCCTAAATAGTAAACTATAATTCTAAATCAGTTATAAAATAGTGTTTGCTGATCATAAATATTTACCATATTGGTTTGAAAATTCAAAAATTTGCATCTGGAAAATCATTCAAAATTTTTAATCTTCAACCAAGATATTGTTTTTAAAAATATTTTTATTCTAAATATGCTCAAAGTGATTTTTCACTGTTTTGAATTTTTGTTCTCACTTTAGTAAGAATTTTGTATTGAGGCATAATTTATACCTAGTAAAAGGCACAGATCCTCAGTGTGCAATTGATCAGTTATGACACAGGTATGTTTGTAACCTATAACTCACCAAGAAATAAAATGTTCTCTTTACCCTAGAAAGTACTCTGCTCTAGAAACAACCACTGATTCTATTTCACTATAGATTCGTTTTGCCTATTCTAGAATCTCCTTCTTTCATTCAGCTCTCTTTGTTCTTTCATACATATTTTTGAGGTTAATTTGTGATATTGCTGGTATCAAACTTGATTCCATTTTTATTCCTGAGTAGTATTGCATTATGTGAATATTCCAGAGTTTATCCTTTCTACTGTTAATGGATACCTGAACTGTGTTCTGTTTTAGGTTATTGCTGGTGATGTTATAAACATTGATGTATAAGACTTTAGTGGATATATGTCTCAATTTCTCTTCAGTACCTGGAAGTAAAATTTGCTGGGTCACAGGGAAGATGTACATTTAACTATTTTTTTCCTCCCATAAGTAAGGTATAATGTTCCCATACTCCATGACTTGGGAGTGTCAGCATTTTTCATTTTAGCCATTCTAGTGCAATAATAGGAGCTCTGGTAGCATAGTGGCTAAGAAACTTGCCTGCTAACCAGACGGCTGGCGGTTCAAACCCACCAGCCACTCCTCGGAAGAAAGGTTGGGCAATCCTACTTCCGTAGTGATACTGCCTCGGAAACACAAGGAGGGGTCGCTATGAGTCGGGGCGACTCGACGGCACATAACAACAACAACAACAACAGTGCAATAATAACTCACTGCAGTTTTAATATATATATCTTCATGTATTTTTTGGATATTTGTATATCTACTTTTACAATATTTTATTTATTTTTACTTGTCTACATCAAAATAAAAAGAAAGACCTTTAAAATATTTATAATTTCTCAAAAGTACCTTTCTCTTTTTTTTAATTTATTTATTTTTATTTGGGTGAAGATTTACAGAGCA